GAATAGTGTGGCCAGCATGAGCAGGGAAGTGATTGTGCCCCACTCTGCACTGGTGAGGCCACATCTTGAATACTGTGTTCAGTTTTGGGCCCCTCACTACAAGAAAGACATTGAGGTGTTAGAGCGTATCCAAAGAAGAGCAATGACCCTGGTGAAGGGTATGGAGCACAAGTCTTATCAGGAGCAGCTGAGGGAACTGGGGTTGTTTAGTCTGGAGAAGAGGAGGCTGAGGGGAGACCTTATTGCCCTCTACAACTGCCTGACAGGAGGCTGTAGTGAGGTGGGGGTCGGCCTCTTCTCCCAAGGAACAAGCAATAGGACGAGAGGAAACATCCTCAAGTTGTGCCAGAGGAACTTTAGATTGGATACTAGGAAATACTTCTTCACTGAGAGGGCTGTCAAGCATTGGAAGAGGCTGCCCAGGGAAGTGGTTGAGTCCTCATCCCTAGAGGCATTTAAAACACATCTAGATGTGGCGCTTAGGGACATGGTTTAGCGGTGGACTTGGCGGTGTTAGGTTTATGGTTGGACTTGATGATCCTAAAGGTCTTTTCCAACCTTAACGATTCTATGATTCTATATGGGGATATTATTTCAGCCCACTGGCATGTATTCACATTTAGGTATACAGACTACTGATAGAAACATTTTACAGTTTTGTTAAGTATATTGTAGCTTTGGAGCAAATAAATTTTTCTCCCAATTTATGTTTGATTGTAATACAGAAGTTGAAGGCTTTCTCACAGTTTACATAGCTTAGAATGTGCTTTCGTGTAACCCAATCATGTAATCCAACAGTTATTTCATAGCAATAGAAAGAAAACATAAAATAATTCATCTTATTCACATGCACACATATCTAGAAACCAGGACATTACAGAATTCTAGCAATATTTGGTAACTCTACATAAATAGAAAGCTTACTTTCTTCCTTCTTGCTAATAATGGCTGGCAATGTGTAGATCTGTAAAAAAAATGGCAACAGGTCAATGTTTGTGCTTTAAATTCTTTATTGCTAGGTTTGTTGGTAGTTCTTAAGCTAGCTGCAACATGCTGTGTATTAGCTTGCTGCTAGGGGAAAGCCCTTGGCTTCCACCTTCTCTTGACATTTATCCCCACAGCACTCACCCAGGTTAACAGCCCTGTGCTAGGCTCTGAGTAGGTGGAGAGGGCAACGCTCCACCGTTTTGGTTGTGTTTGCAGTTTTACACAGCTCATCATCTTCACCTCTGGGGAGAAGGCAGAGGGCCAGCGGGATATGTCCCAGAAACCTATTGAGGCCAGCCTTGAGACTGTAGATTGACTAGGGATTTAATAGCAGATTTAAATATAGGCACCTAAAATGTGCTAGAAGTCAGATTTGCAGACTCCAAATGGGTTAAATTTCAATACAGCTAATGATCTGATTTTCTGCACTGTTTCAGTCAAGCAAGAAGCTTGTAAAAACACTCACCTATCTCATGAAAACGATCAACCGTTTTTTTCCCCTTGGACACAGGTCTGGCATTACCCTCATTCAGCGACTATTTTAAGAGCAGATTAATAGTGGGGAGAAATCTCAGACAAGGCTGTCTCTTAGTAGCTTTCAACACATTTTTATGCTCTCTGCAGTGCCTTTCAAGACGGTGATAATTGTTTACTCCACGATGCTGCACAAAAGATGGTTTGTCTTTACCAGTGCAGAAGCTACCACTTCACAAATGTTGTCTGAACCATGAAGCCTATTAGGCAATATCCTATCATATTACTTAAAGATTAAATATCCTAACATTAAAAATAATATAAAAATAAAGGCTTAAATTCACTGCTGTTCTGCTTTTCTACTTTGTTTCTATCTTCACCGTGTTTTTGCAATAGTGTCTCACAAAGAACAGAACTGTATTTGCCTGTATTGTAACAGAGTATCTGAAACGCATACTTGCTGCTTTTTTTAACAAGTGGGCCACAAAACTGTAAAAAGAAAGGAAAAAGAAAAAATATCCTTACTGGTTCCTTTCCATCCATAGCTTCAAGCCAAAGTTTTCGGTTGGATTCTGAAAAAGCTTGCAGTGTAATGATTCCAGGTCTGTCAAAAACATACACATATACCAAAGTTATAGATTTCTTTTTCTCGAACAGTGTCCAAAGTCAGAATCCAAATGCATATTGACATGAAGTGAATACAGAAAAGGGAAGAAGTTAAAGGAAGTTGATGGCGTCTGACATAACACAGTAAGTTTGAGCTAGATTTAAAAACAGGTCTGTTTTTTTAAAAGTTTGGTACTGCAACATGTAATTTTAGATGCCTAGTCCTAAATGCTCCCTCTGATAGGTATTAGGCACCTCCATACTGCAAGTTGGGTTATGTATCTGCAAACGGGATCCCATACAACCCATTTTATAGTGGGGAGATGCTTAGGGTAGAAAACGGAAGGGCAAGGCACATCAACCCAATTTGCCTCAATATGTCTATGCCTGAGCTGGTTATCTACAATCCTTTCATAGCAAATGAAGAGAAGTAGGTACTTCTAATCTAAAAGTCATCATATCCCAAAATAGATATCCAAAGTTGGTCAAAAGAAATGTGCCCTGAAACAGTTGCCTAAGAAAAGCGCTTTGAGATAGTATCTCAAGTATGGAGACCTACATTGTCACCATGTGTTTAAAAAGCAGCAAGAAAGCAACGGGACAATATGAAGTATCAAAATGTGTGTTCACACACATACACCAAACCATTCAAGGAGGAGCAAGCCATGCTCTTATACATGCCAAGCTGAGTATTTTGTTTGGTATCTACTATCACAAGTGTAAAAAAAATACAGTTAATGCAGATTAAGTTGTATAACTGTTTTTCTGTGTTCTTAAAGTCAAAGTTTATTTCCATCCTAATATTCCATCTTGCTACCTACTCACATATTCTGAGGAATTTTTCTCTCAAAACATTTTAGAAATAGAAACTGATTTTTTTTTTTCTTTCTATCGTGACTACTGCTTAATATTTACGTTGAAAATTTGCATTTATACTTATAGTCCCTTGGTCAGCACAGACGAAGAAAGCTACCGGAAGAACAGAAATTTCTGAGTGTCATTTTAGCTCAAGCTTAGAGATACCTACTTTTAGCTCTCTGTTTCTGATTTAATCTGTTGGCCAAGTTTGCAGTCACTGTACAGCATGTTTTGATGCTCAAATATCTAACACTATAATCCCCCAATATTAGTTTCCTTAAAAAAGAAAAAAAAAAAAAAAGCCCAAACCAACTCCAATACATTTTGAACTAACTTTTGCTCTAGCTACTGAAATAATTGGTGATTTCTCAGAAATTAAAATTACATTCAAGGTGAAACACACTTTCTGATGTTGCCTTTTTATCTCTCTCCAGTACAAATAAGATGGTGTAACCTCTAGAATAGTTTTTGCAAGAAGTCTGAGCTGAATGTAGGCGTGTAAAACACCTAAGTAAATTTCAAATTAATTATGTCAATTAAAAGGGCTCACAATGTGTGTTCTCTGTTAGTTGTTCACAAGGGTTTCTTTTAGTTAACCTGGGTCTTCCAGGAAATGAGATGTGCGCAGCAGTCTGCACGGTTTTCCAATGTTTTAATAAAATAATATTTCATACAATCTTTCATACAGTGTTGCATATAATAATGCAGGGAGAGAATTAGCTCTGTGGGATAAGGTATTTGGAGGCAGAAGTTACCTATAAAATCTTGCAATGAAATTGTAAAGACTGGTGTAGCTGCACATTTTTAAAAAGAGCTCTTTCATGATGAAAAGTCATACCTTTAAGTTACTAAGGAAACTTATCTTTTACTAATATCTATTATTTTTAAAGTTTTTCTGTATTTTGCAGTTGATGTCATACATTGTACTCCATGTAAACTATATTAAGTCTTGACTTTAAAATTAGTTCAGATGTAATCATTGTCACAGTCTTTCTGAATCCTCACTATTCCAGTAGTGTATTTACTTTTATATGAACTCGCTCACATTCTTAGTCATTACTGACATCAGTAACGGCCACTGCATCTTCCCTTCTCAGGGGAAACCCAAGTTTTAGAAACATGACATTCAGAAGAGATTAATGTTGCCCTTGCATATGAACTCCCATCAAATATCTCTAGGTATTTTGTTGCCTATTTATCTCCTCTGCTGACTTTTACAGAAATTCACTACGTCCCTGCCAAACACCAAAACAATTGGGAAAGTGAACTTTCTATCAAGCTACCTACCATCTATCCTTACAATAATGACCAAGTAACTTTGTATTCTACTCCCCTTTCAGTCTTCTGTCCAAGTTTCCACAATGCCTTTAACTTACAGGCCATGCACAACTGTAATCAATCAAAATTTCCAGTATGCAAAAAGTGCCTCTAAGTAGCTCTTTGATGAGAACTTGAAGAACTGAGGTGGAACTAATTATTCTGTGCAGTTTTGTTGAACTGTGGATGTTCTAGTAGAGTAAGGGAGAGAGAAGGGGCAACACTCACTTGTGAACATATTACAGTGGTGCTGCCACAGATGTGCCTAATAAATGCAATTCTACTTCGAAAGAAACAACTACCAATCTCAAACTCAACCTGTCAATTCAAGCTTAGGGGCTTTCAAGAGACCAATTAGTCTCAACATTTGTTCTTCTGAACTCACTCAGAAGTCTATTTTAGAAAAATAATGTATGATATTTGAAGGTACCATAGTATTTCAAAATTATAATGTAAGAACAGCAGTTCTGAATGGAACTTAAAATGACACTAGCAGTCATAAAATATTTCTTATGACAATGACTACAAAAGTCAGTCAATTTATCATATTTCAATGGAAAAATTAATTCAATATTTCTCTTTATTCCTAAGCTTGAAAAAGTACTTTTACAAAGTACTGCATACATATACTTCAAATACAGAAAAGCTGTTTTCATCCATCTTATGTAAGTATAGTATCCAGGAATAAGTGAAAAAAAAAATTGTAGAAGTAATTTTCAAAAAATAAAAATTATGTGCTATCATACATTTCTCAAAGAAATAGTGATTGGTAAAGAACATGCTTATTAATAAATATTTACAAAAATATTTATGATCTATTCCTAAAAGAGGGTTAGTTGTGCTACAGGTGTTTCAGTTGTGCTACAGGTGTACGAATCTGTCTTGCATCTGCATGCAAACATACTGTAGTTAAGACAACACATATGCCATGTAGTGAACTTTGTTAGAAAAACAGGTTTGAACAAATAAGTACTAAGTCTTGAAAGCCTGGTTTGTCTGGATACATGCATACTGAGAAATATGCGTTCCTATTACAGGAGTAATCATTATATATTGGTTGCAAGTGCTTCTATTTTAATTCATTTCAATTTGTTAACACAATGAAAAAAATTCAAACCTCTCAAATACTTCAATATCGAAACAGAAACGTTTGTCAATTGAATCTGTCTTTCTCCTGATGCAAGATTTTAGCTTGAATATTTCTGGTGAGCTTGTGACGAGGCCATTCTATAAAACAAAAGAAAACAAATTAGCACAGGCAGTATGCTGATATACCTTGGCTTCACATCTTAAATTTAACTGTATGAACAGTCCAAAGAACATGCCTTAAGACAGGGATTAAAATAACATAGACAATAATTTATCTGTATATAAAGTAAGACTGGAGTTAATAGCTTTCTGTCATGTATTTGTTGTTTAATTGTTGTATTTCAGAAAACTCCCTAAATTCAAAACCTTACAAACTTCTGCATACATAACATGATTATATGTTACATGCTAGAATGAATACCATATAATTCTGTCACCTCTCACAGGTAGATAGAAAGATTGCTAAAGAATAAAGCTGACTAACTCCTACTTCTGGCCACCATCATTGTGGGGCCACTCTCTATGATGTTGGAAAGGCTGACGCAATCGAGGGAGTTTCTGAGGAATGAGAAAAAGCAAACAACACTCCTGTCTTCAAGAAGAGCAAGGAGAAGGGTATGGGGAACTACACACCAGTCTGCATCACCTCAATCCCTGGGAAGGTGATGGAGTGAATAATCCTGGAAAGCATTTCCAAACATATTAAAGACAGAAAGGTGACTGGAAGTAGTCAGCATGGATTTAATGAAGGGGAAATCATGCAGGACCAACCTTATAGCCCTCTACAATGTGATGGATTGCTCAGCGGATGATGAAAGAACAAAGAATGTTCAGGCTTTCAACACTACATCCTACTACAGTAGAATGTTTCCTACTATATCCTCATAGACAAACTGATGAAGTACAGGCTAGATAAGCAGATGATGATGTGGATTGAAAACTGGCTGAACTGCTGGGCTCACAGCAGAAGTCCAGCTGCAGCCAGTGGTATGCCCAAGGGGTCAATATTGGGGCCAGCACTGTTTAGCATGAATAGGAATAACCCCAGGCACCAGGACAGGCTGGGGCTGAAAGGATGGAAAACAGCTTGGAAGAAGAGGACCTGCAGGTCGTGGTAGGCAACAAGTTGACCATGAGCCAGCAATGTGCCCTTGCAGCAAAGAAGGCCACAGGCCTCCTGGGCTGCATCAGGCAGAGCGTTGCCAGCAGGTTGGGGGAGGTGATCCTCACCCTCTGCTCAGCACTGGTGAGGCACATCTGGAGTCCTGTGTCCAGTGCTGGGCACCTCAGTCCAAGAGAGACAGGGAGGCACTGGAGCAAGTCTAGCAAAGGGCCACCAAGGTGATTAAAGACTTGGAGCACCTGTCATGTGAGCAGAGGCTGCCAAAGCTGCGACTGTCCAGCCTGGAGAAGGGGGATCATATCAGTGATTGATCTATCAATATCTGATAGGAAAGAGTAAAAAAGGTTGAGTCAGATTCTTCTCAGTGGTGCCCAGTGAAAGGGCAAGAGGCAATGGACACAAACTGAAACACGTTTAACTTAAGAAAAAGCTTTTTTTTTGGTGGTGAAATGCTGAAACAGGTTGCCCACAGAGGTTGCCAGGTCTCCATCCTTGGAGATATCTAAAACCTGGACACTGGCCTCGCTAACCTGCTCTGGTCAACCCTGCATTGAGATTAAACTAGATGATGTTCAGAGCTCCCTTCCACACCACATCCATCCTATGATTCAGTGCAAATGTGACTGATTTCCTATGCATTAGGAACCACCACATTAGAGAATTTACTAAATAAGTGGTTTATATATGTTTTAAAAGAAATATTTTAATTTAAACATTTATCTATGCTATATTAAGACATGCACTGCTTCATGTATGAAAACAGCCTTATGCTTTGTTCACCACATTTTTTATTTTAACAGTTCCTGAATGGTTAATGAAATACACAGTTATACACAATAATATACAGTAATATGCAGTTCATGTATGCATTCAAGTATGTGCAACTCACCACTTTTCCACCAGATTTTGTTTCAGCTATACTCATTGTAAATGTTTTTGTTCCTTTATCGTAAGTGCAGTAATGTTTTACCCACGTAAATCCAAGAGGTCCTAGATTAAAGAGAGATAGTATTAAAAATAATTATTTTGGCATTTTACCAGCATTCTAGTTGTTTTTGCAGTGTGACTGCTCCCCCTTGGGCGAGAACACTGTGACTATAACTGCACGGGTTAATAAACAGTGCTGGCAGCATTCACAGTGACTGAGGAACACATAGTCAACAGGTAACTTGGGAAAAACTTGATTTTTGAGGATAGGAAACTTAGTAGAGAGGGTTGGATATCCTATGCAAGCTGGTCTCAGTGGCAGAGTACAGCCCCATTTATTTTACTGGCTTTACACAGCTTCTGGGTACTCAGCTGCAGAGATCAAACGCAATGGCTATGTGTGAAGAGATACCAAGAAGGAAGAGCATTTCTTTCCTCTCGGACAGCGTTATTGCTTCAGAGCCTGGCATTCAAACATGGCCCGTCTCTGCAGAGCCATCACAAATGTAGGTGCCAAAGCAAAATACATACATGTATATATATATATACACATGTAAAATATGCAGTATTGTAACCGCTGTGTAAATTCAGAGTAGGAAAGGACTAGATGACACTTTCAACCCACATGTGATTTTCCAATTTATTTCAATGCAAGTTACTCGTGGGGAAAAATACAGTATTGATTTTTTCAAAGTACAGTATATGACTTTTTAATTCTTTTTACAATGAAAGAGCTCTGAGTTAAAAAAAAAAGTATCTTAAGGGGTTTGTGTTTGGGGTTTTTTTAAATGTAAACAGTAAAATAAAAATGGAAGGTGTTAAACCTGAACTTAATTTTGTTAATAGATACAATGGCTTTGCCTTCTAAATGTAGCCTTCCACAAAGGCGGTGGATATATGAGAGCTTGCATCAGTCATTTAAGTTGTCTGCCTGGCAATACACAAACGTAGTTGTGGAAATTTGCACGGTCTGTTACTCCAACTTGGAGAAAGTTCTCCCATTGCCTGCGTTTTGCAAGAACGTAATGTCACAAATTGAAAAGTCAACTGGTTACCCAGCCTCAGAAGTTAGGTGTTCTGCTCCTCTATTTTCACTTAGCAAAACAAAATCTGTAATTATTTTAAAGCAATTTTTCCTCTGATGGCATTTCATTAACTCTTTTAGCATATATAAGTAGGATGAGTACTCTCAAAGCAGTTGTAGATGAGTTTAGAAGTCACCTGTTTTTCAGTAAAAAATTGTAGCCAGACACCTACACTGCAATTGTAAGTCTGTTCCTCATGCCCATCCATCTGAATGAAAATAATTCATGGCCTACTGCCGTTTAAAAAAAACCAAAACATATTACCACCATGCATATCAGTAATAAATACATACAGGATTTACTCTCAAGAATAGCAAACATTTAACCCGGTTGCCCATAACTTGACAAGAGCCAGTGGGATGATGGTTGTAGGAAAGTAAACCTGCATGACAAGGAAATACACAACTAGTACCTTCCCCACTGACACAGAGATCACAGATCCTGTTACTCTTACTCCAGAATAAACTAATGAACAAATTTCTTTTCAGTAAGAGGATGTCAAGTTGGCCTCTCACTATTTAATGAAGCACAGCATGTGCCCAATGCTTCACTCCTTTTCTCCCTCCCCCATTAGCAGGGCTCAGTGTAACTTCCACTTAACACAGGTTTCTTTTATCATTATTACTCAATTAAAACATAGAGGGTCTTCTTAAAACTTCCAGTGTTACTGAGGGTAAAAGTGGCTGAGGTTAACTACGATATGCATTGAGGTTTCTTTCTTTTAGCTCAGATATGGAATTAAGATTAATTTTCATGTTATTCAGAAAATCAATTATCTATAAATCATCTAAAAGGGGAGCAGTGAAGAAGACATTATCCTCAAAACTGAGGTTGTGTGGGGTCAAGTCTGACATGGCAATTCTATATCCAGATGCCTTCTGTTTATTTTTAGATTGAGAAATCAGGTGCAAAGTCGTTTTTAATGATTTTTGCATGAATGTCAAACTTCTACAAGCATGTACACACTATCTCAAAACACTTTGCTAGGCTGATTGTCAGGCTGATTCCACAGCAAACAGAAAAATGAATAAATTAATATATAAATCTGGGTACCTCATGCAATGAAAACTATTTTAACTGAGGGTTTTGCATGATCCTGAAGCTAGTTTGGCTTGGTTCTCTATACTGGTTAGAGTGCAAAACAGTGGCAGCTGATACTTCAGGTGACGTATAGCTTTGAATCTCTCATTTGACTTGTCACATGTTTCCTGGTCCTGTTTTCATTCATTACATGATGCACTGCTAGGCTCCAGGTAGTTTCAGACACTTATGACAACTTCATTTAGTTCATCACTTCATTCTCATGTCACATGATGAAGTAAACAAAGCACAGGTATAGATTTGCAGCTATTTTGAAGCCAACAGACTGTATTTAGATTACTTTTCTTCTTCTTACACCTCTGTTTTCCATTATGTACATGTTTGTTCACTCTTAAGGTAGCCACCGGAGATCCCTGGTACAAGGTGGAAGTTGCTCCTGCTGGGTGAACTAGGGGCCCTGTTCAGGCAGCAAAAGTACAAGAGACAGCAGGGTTTGGCAGGCAGAGCTAAAGCAGAGTGCTGGGAGCTTGCAGCTTCTGCAGCAAGGAGTAGGGCAGCCAGCCAGAGCAGAGCTTGCTACCAGTCAGCCACTGGGGTGACCAATATCAGGTACCTACCCACAGGGATCCAGGGGGCAGGAGCTGAGACACTTACACGTGTTTTGATCACCATTCCCTCTGACCATAGCTACTCTGAGTGCTTTTTGAAAAGTTAAACACTTATTTTTCTTTTGAACCTCTCAATCATTTGGAAAGCAACCATAGCAGAATTCTGCAGACGTTCACACACAGAGCTGTTGTCTTGTCCTTGCATTTGTTGCTGTGCCTTTCAAATCAAATTAAAAGGTCCATCTGCTTTACTCACGTTTCTCCTGCACATAGAGATAGCCTTCCATTGTCCATTGACTCGGTGGTCTGTAATCCTGGTTGGCTGATTTCATTCTTTGCATGAGTCTCTCCACTTCCTGCCTAGTGCTTTCAAAGTTATTCCGGGTCTAATACCAGCAAAAAGAAACAAACAAAACCCCACGTTATCTCATGCAACTACTAAAAAACAATGAAGAACTAATTACTAATAATGCCAAGGAGACTGTATTGGACACCAACAGAAGTGTTTGCCAGAGACATAAAAGGGGGGGCGGGGGAAGGGGAAAAAGGCAATAAAGAATAATACTCTCTATTGCTCTAGAAGCCTAGGAATAACATAGTAATGAAGAATTCCACTTAAGCACACAAGTGTAAAGGAAACATAGTTGAGACTAGTATTCCTCTTTCTGCAGGTCACTAACCTCAGAAAGGCGGTCATTTCATATCTTTAGGTATGCTTAGACAATATTTTGCAGACAGTTGCAGGCTTTCTGTGTACTCTAGGATACACAGACAGAAGCCAGGCTAAACTAGAAGCTTCTGATAGCAAAGCCCCAAACCTGAAGTAGTAAGTCTCACTGAACCACTTGCAGTACAGTGCAGAAAACACAAGTTTGGGTTAATGCCAGGCTAATGTCTCCAGACGGCTGCGGTCTCTCCACATGAGGAAGGGAAAAATGTACTGTGTATCCGCACCTGCAGTCCACAGCTGCTGATACCCAGAATAGTCAGGTTACCAGCAGTGTCATGAACATTTTTTGATAGGACTATGCAAACACTACCGTCAACTACAACATAAATATGCTAGGTAAGAAACAGGTCATAAGCGGCAGAACTGTGCCAGAAGCATGGAAGGACTGTGCCTGTCCTAAATATCACGTGTGTAGCCAGGCATCTGGCCAAGCAAACAATTAAGTTCAAAGGTGGGTTATTCACATTTGCTAATATCTATATGCATATAAATGGACATTTTTTCCTATTGAACTCAGTGAGGCCAGGGTTCTCCTCCACACACCTAGCACGGTATAATCAAAGAGAATTATTATGAGGTCCCAGAGGTTTGATAGGTTGCTACTAATACACCACATGCTGAAGACTTTGTTCCTACAGGTAACAGAAAAGAATAAAGATATTTGTCATGTTTCTGCAAAGTCATCTTATAGACTCTGATCCTGACTTGTCCTGAGATACTCTCAGGACTTTATACACTGGTGAATACTTTCTCCTTTTTGTGGGCCATTCATGGAGTGCACAGTAGTATAGTAATACCCATGTTAAATCTTCTTCTTGAAGACAAATATTATTATTAGAAAGAGAGGTAAAATTCTTCTCTGAACTTTTCAAATGATATCCTTAGGGTGAGGTATCAGTTCAGACCAAACTTAACAGAGGTCATTTTGAGACCTTCAAGAAGGATGTGCCATTGAAGAGAGGAACATCCTCATTTTGAGAGCATATCTCTATCTGTCTTTTACATTTTTAATTAATACTTTTAAGCAGCCAGGACTTTGAATCAGATTACAGAAAACAAAGCCAAATGGACATACAAAGCACATCACCAGCCAGCTGAAACAGTGAAGGTGACAACAAGTCATGTCAGGACATGGTGACCTGTTAAAGAGCTGTTGGTCTGCACTACTCTGCTACTCCTATGGCTGTTACTGCTCCTGCCCTAACCTGTAGGACAATTTTAAGAACAGAAACAGCAGTTCAGATCAACTATGCTCCAAGACCTTACAAAATGCTATGGGGAGGAGCACTTTTGACAGCTGCAAGAGACAGGCTGAACACATTTTTCCCTGAACACTGCCCTCAGTTTGTCT